ATACTCACTAAACAATATCAGGAAATCCTCCACAAATGCAAAATCACACTTAAAAGCATGTGCATGCATAAAGCGAACCACAAAAACAACTTCATTACCCAGGAGGTAATAGGTATGAAGCCACAGGCCGGAGCGCTCTTTGTGGATGGGTGGGGGCTGGGTTCCCTAGCAACAGGCCTGTTGATATCCAAACAATGTTCATGTCGTCAGAGTGTAGCTGGTCGGGCCAGACCGAGGTTCTGCTGAGTGGAGACAATGTCACTGTGTGTTCCCGAATGCCAGCGAACGAAAAGACGCAGATAGGCCTCTTGACCGGAAGGCAGCGGGGCAGAGCCAAAGTTCAAAGCGTCTTATATGACGCTTTGAACTTTGGCAGAGCGAGCGTTTCATTTTTTAACTCCACAAAGTTTCCATATACACTTACGGCGTTCATTTAGATCACACAAAATGTTTCTATTAAATAACATCTTTGGATCTTTTTGAAGAAAAATTTGGATCTATAATCCCAGTCAGCAGTTTACATGCTGTCATCATTCTAGTTATATTTTAAATTCTCCCTGTAAAGATGCCTACAAACAATGTTCATAATAACAATAATAATAGCAGCAATTACTATGTATTATTATTATTATTATTATTATTATTATTATTATTATTATTATTATTATTATTATTATTATTATTATTATAACATTGGGTGTAAATGTAGCCATTAAGCTTCAAACTAATCACTAACAGCAATTTGTACCTCAATCCCAAGCCGACTGCTCCCATCAATAACAGTAGTAACAAAAGTATCTGAGTGCAAAAACAGGAATGGCATTCCAAACAATAGAAAATCAGCACATTTAAGTTCATGTTTGTAATTATTTGCTTTTTATTATTATTATTATGATTATTATCATTCAGAATTCATTCTATGCACCATAAATTATATCAAGAGTTAGCATGATTTGCAGATTGGGCAAGTGGATTATTCTGGAGTTGTAAAGAAACCAGGAGCTTTCTGTGGCCATCAACATGCAGCAAGTGCAATTCAGGATGGGTCTTTGATTCCTCTGTATCAGAACTGGAAGGTTTCATTTAAATTAATTGGTTTCTTAAAGTCCAAGCTTTTTTATGTAGTAGGGCGAGGGCGTGGGCCATTCCCCAAGCTCAGTGTCAGTCGAATTTTTGTTTCCAAAATCAGTTCTGATGTTTGTTTTGGATCATTGTTCTGCTGCAACACCTGTCGATCTGAAAGCTGTGAACTGAGGTGAAGCTGAAGTTATTTGGAGGCAAAACTACATCCACATTGTGCAAAGAACCAGTAGGAGTGAAACAAACCCTCAACTGGGTGCGTCCTCTGTATTGTCCATTCCTCCAGAGGAAATTATGGCATGGCTTCCTAAATGGAAATTTACAAATTTGAGCTTCATTACAATATATGTAACACATGATACTATTTCTTTTTAGAAATGTAGATACACTGTAGAAATCCAGAAAATATTTTAAATAATAAGTGTTTATGAATGCACCAGGAGATATACTGCTAACATACTAACTAATCAATTGTGTCAGTAAATTTGACATAATAAATTGCTAAACTAAGGATGAAGTCAATTTTAGAGTTGATGGAAATGTTCATACTCTCAGTGGAAAGTGTCCTGACAATTTCCTGCCAGGAAAGAATGTTTCTAACCAACTTTTTCTTAAAGTGAATTGGTTCTTGTTGGGGACCTTCTCAGTCACTGTGAAGCCAACATCTTCCAGTTCATGACACTGGTGTTTGTCAATTATTAATATTTATTCTGAGTATTTTCTGTCCTCGGTGTGCAACAGTTTGATTCACTTTTACAATTTTATTTATAAGAATGGCTAAATGTCCAGTCAGACAACAAGAAGAAGCTGAGAGATGTTTATCCGACATTAGAGGAAGTGTACGCAGACACTTTGTCTGTTTCCATACTGTATATATGGTTTAACAAGTGGAATAAATTTACACTTTCAAACCTGAGTGCCAAATTTTTTAAACTTGTTTTACAGTCATCACCCCTGAAAAAAATAAAAAGAAAAAGAAATCTTACCTACAATGACTGCTTGTAAATTTCTGACTGGCGCTGTAAGCAGCTTGAACTTCATAAGAAGTCAGTGTTGCCAAGCAGCTGGCGAGATATCACAATATAGTCTGAGACTGTTTATCCATCCAACAGATGCCTCTTTTCTTTTCTTTTTTTTTTTATTAAAAAGGTGCCTTTTTACCACTTCTTTGCTCGTGGCAGCTCCACATGCTGTCAAAAAATAATTTTCACCCGCAGCTTCTTCAGCCTGAAGTAAAATCCACGGAACAACCTGAACCAAAGGCAGAACTGTTGTTTTTGTTTGTAATCGAGTTTATAAGAAGGAGGTGTACAAGTTGCTTCACAAGTGGTTTGTATTGATTGCTTTAAATGCCTCTGTTTCTTTCTGGTGCATTTTCATGTCAATTGCTGCCAGCAATAAAAATCCAGGAGATGTTTGAATACAAAAACGAAGCCAAAGTGGAAAATGAAGGAGTCCTGGGTACAAAGTGGGAGGCAGAATATTTTGGTTTAGTACCTTCTCTGTGTGTCTCTGTGATTTAACAGGTTTCGTCTGTGACCTTCAGAAGAAACTATTGGACATTAATGGTGGTGCAGCTACTGCTCTGATTGGATCAGGCTGGTCACTTCAGACCGTTTATTAGAAATGTCTTCATTGTGAGCTGCGTTTAACTCAAACTGTTTAAACTGTTTGTTGTGCTTTTTTTTTATTTAAATGCCTTAAATGTTTGTCATAATCTAATTTGGTTATTGTTTTCAAGCCATTAAGAACAATAAAAATCGAGACGACAACAACAAATACAAAGCTGTTACTAAGCACAGAAAAAAGAAAAAGATTACAATATTAAACCAAATACTGCAACTGAATGACAAACAGGATGTTTGTCTCTAGAAACTAAACACGTTTCTGGGTGGAATGACCTGTAGATTTTGGTCACTCAGGAGGTTTTTTTTTTGTTTGTTTGTTTTTCACATTTCAGATTTAAAGCAGAGATGGCACTTCAAACAGTTCCTGCAAAATATTTATTTTTTTTATTTATCCTTTACTTTTTAATTAGTAATCTAGACATTATGCTTCCCTGGGGTATAAATATGACGCAACACAAAGACCTATTTCTCTTAGCAACTCTTCAGATTTTGAAATTCATGAGAACATGTAATGGGTGTTGATGTTCACAACTTTGGAAGCTCCCATTAGAAACACAATCAGAGTTGATCTTTCCAACAGGGAAAGTTTAGAGGGAGGAGACAAAAATCCCCCAAGCTTTGGAGCGCTGCTGCTGCTTCTGCTGCTGCAAAACATGACTGTTAGGCTAATTGGTTTCTCTAAATTGCCCTTAGGTATGAATGCTTGTGTGCATACTTGTTCTTCTGAGCTCCTCTGTGTTGCCCTGTGATGGCCTATCAACATGTCAGGGATGTTCCCGCCTCTCCGACACGGGTTTACGTTTTAGGATTTAAATTAAATTAAATATACCTACTGCAGGGTCATGAGGGCTGATGCCTTTTTCTGATCATTGGCAAAAGATAACTTCAGTACTCCCTTAATAACAGCTTTTACATTTACTCAGGTTACCTTTGTGCACCAAAACAAATAAAAGAAAAAAATATGTTAGTTTTCCTTACTCTACATAGACTTTTCTGTATCAGTTTTTTTTTCTATTATTGTGTAATAATTTATTTTAAATGATCAACCTGCCAGGAGCCACAGGATAAGTGTGGCTCCTGTTCATTTATATGATTCACTTTATGTGCATGTAAGTTTGTTAAAATAAGATCCAAAACTTTTTTAAAGAAATCATGAGAAAAGTCAGGAGGGGCAAGCCATTGATTTACAGTCACAAAACAGCAGGAAGATCACCTGAAATAATGTTTTATGTGGTGAGGTGCTGCATCCTCCTGTTAAAGTTAATCTAGCTGCTCATGTTGTCTTCTAAAAGTGGAGAATAAATATTTTTTTCAGAGGTGAAAGAGCACTATTATCAATTTTAAAAAAAAGTAAAAGATGTTTGAAAAAGAAAAGTGTGGCCATTACCTTCATGCAATTCTACTCAATTCTCATCTCCTCTGAGTGCTCTCTCTTGAATTTCTCCCATTCAGCCTGATTTCTACAGCTTAATAGAAATCAGTCAATCGACAAACATTTTCTGTGCTGTTTTTAGAATTGCAGTCTGCCCACGTAGTGTTGTAGTTTGGTAATGGCAGTGGAGGAAGTGATCGAAACCATTCAGCCTGTGCTGGCCGTGCTTCCAAATGTGGAGCAATTAAAGTCGGAGTGAGAGGAATGTATTAAACATTTTATTGCTGGCAAAGACGGCCCTCTGGTTGCTTACACTGCACACAATTCCAGATAAGCTTCATCGAGCTGTCACAGTCAAACGTTAGAGATTGATTAAAATGTAAAACTTCAGCACAGTCCAAAACCTCCAGCAGGCAATCGCTTCTCAATAGCTGGGAGTCCAGACCCTATGTTTGGTTTTTACCAAGTTGGAATAAGAGTGCTATGTGGTAAAACCTGGAAGCTGCATAGTGAAAATATTGGCTGGGATTTGTCAGAAGAGTTTGTGTTTTGGGGCGAGTGGGGGCCTGTTGCAGGAGGGGCTCGACCAGGACGCCACTACTGCAAGGACCGTCACTGTTGCTAATTGTTGTACAAGGTATTATTGTAATTCCTCTAAAGGAGCAACATGGGTCCAGGGGTGGATTTAAAATGTTGGTAATTGAATTTACATACCCCTTTTTGTCCAGTTTGTCCCTGCCAAAGTCCCCTGGTGAGTGAGATAACACTGGACGGTGAATGAATCTGATCTAAAGGCCTCCTATGTAAGACCCCTAATGGAGCTGGAGAGCTGGAGCCCTGCAGGGGCCTCGGGGCCAGCAGCGGGGCCCCGTCCTGCAGCAGCAGCAGCAGCAGCTTCAGCAGCAGCAGCAGCAGCACCACTCGCAGTCTAGCAGCGGGACTCCAGGCTCTCACTTCCCCAGCTGCTGACGTCAGCTGGCAGCCTGGGCTGAGCTCGCCGCTCCGGACATAGCGCCGAGAAAAATGCTGCTCTCCGTACCGCCAAGGGCAGGAATCAACCCCTACAACGGCTACAACAGCAGAAACAGCAAAAAGGTAAAACGCTTTCGTGCTTTTCACCCCCTTCGTTTTCGGCTTGTTCTCTACCTCCCCCCCCCCGCTCCTCCTCCTCCTCCTGCGGGGCAACAAACCCGCGTCCGTCGCGACAAAATAGGGAGCTTGTGACAGTGAGCTGCAGTGTCCTTGAGAAGCTAAACGCTCTGAATTCAACTTAAAGACTTGGTGGAGTGAATCCGCAGCCCGGAGAAGGACCCCAGGTCCGCTGAGTGTCAAGCTGGGTTAGAGGGGGTTGGAGACGGGGGGGAGAGGGGGGGTCTCTGCCGCTCGCTCCTGTCACGCTGGACGCCCGCTGTTGCTATTTTGTAGTATTTATATGTGTGGGAGCCACAGTGGGGATGTCGATATCGCTCTGCTCACTCGTTTGAGAAAGTCAATGGTGGAGAGCAACTTTTGCGGGGGTGACTGTACCGTGCTGGGATAGCGCGTCGGTGCCTGGATGTGTTTATGGAAGTGGGGGTAGGGAGAGAGAGGGGGCCGGCTGTGGGAGAACTTATTACAAAATCACGTCTGCCGCTACCTCCGTGGGCATCGGGACAGACATTTATATCTGCTGGTAAAATCAGCTCTTCGTTGTCTCCGCTGCCGCGTAAGTTAGCGAAGTTTTTTCTTTCTTTCTTTCTTTTTTTTTTTTTTTCCTCGTTTCCCATCTGAAAGCGGAATATGCCCCACCCCTCGAAAAATCCCACCAGACCATGATGACTACATTCCCAGAATTATGAATCGCGCTTTCGTGGTTATGTTCACTTTTGACAATGTGACTTTTTTTTTAATGTAACATCGGGAATTATAAAGTGTTACATATAATTATGTTGCAAAAGCAAAACAGCCTCTGAAATATAAAATGTGTCTGTCAGTTATATAGAACAATGTTTATGTGTTTATTTTTGCATTTAAGAGCCTGATGCTCCTATAAACATGGCCGGTCCTTGGATGCATGTGTTCCTAAACAGAATCCGGCTTTTAATAAAACCAGGCACCAATGTTGATAAAACATTGTGTTGTACAATTACATTTTTATAATTTACTGCTGAAAAGTAATGTCAGCCATATAAAACTTTTTTATTATTTTAACACTGTGGAGTCCTGCCTATTCCTGGTTCAATATTTGCAAATTCGCGTATTCTCAGATTTTTCTGTGGAACATAATAACAAATTATTCAGAAAAAAAATTGCCTATATGTGGATTTTATTATAGAACATATCTAAAATAATTGAGAAATAAATACAGCTTGGGGAGTTGAAATACCAAGGCGTAATGCTGCAAAGCCAACACAGGTGCACCATTCATTGTTTGAACCTCCAAGAGTGGAGATAAGAAAGACCACAGATATTAGCTTCTGCAGGAGTTCCAAGATGGTTTGCACTGATGCTTATTAAGGTATATTTGCTGTTTGAACCATCAGAACAGATATTGCCGGATGTCAGCTATTTGTGATGAAGCTGTCTTCTCTTTACGTATTAGAAAATAAACTAATTTGTTCCTTTTTTTAAAAGGGGGAGAAAGTATTGCTTTTAGTAAGCTGTCTTTAGGATCCTGTGATTACTGTGATGCGGACCAAATGTTGGATGAAATCACTGAATATGACTGTAAAATGCAGCGTAATGCATGATGTAATAAAATTTATTACACTTAGTCAAATGATTGGGATTTTTCTAGAAATCCAAGTGGTTCCGCCCTGTTCACTGACATTTAATAAGAGAGTTAATCTCAATCACACACTTTTAATGTTTATGTTTTCTGCTCTGTCCATCCGTCAAATAATCGCACGCTGCAGATTTGTACCTATCTTATAGTGTCGTGACTTCTGCCATTTGCATTTTTAACCCTGTACGTTAGACATGGTAGTTAAGAATTTTAGGTACAATAAATTACAGGTGCTTCTGGTTTGGTTTCAGATTCTGAAGGGGCAGTGATGCATGCAATAAATTATCGGACAGTAATGATTCTGATGATGACGCAGATTGTGAGAGCTTTGAGACCAACTCTAGAAAATTGAACAATTAATGTACTTCTGATTCCAGTGTCTCTTTTCACTAAAGCTTTGTAGCAACTTTCTGCAGTTTGAGCTGTAATCTCTTATATTCCCTGCTAAAAGGAAGTGATTTTAGGTCACACTTGTTTCTTTTGTAAGTGTTGCTACAATGATCTGTTGGAATAATAATAATAAAAAAAAAAACCTCAGTGTAATTTTTTTTGCAAAAGGCAAAACATTTTTGGAAAGTCACTCTCCTTAGAAAAATGTAATTAAGTGACAGAATTGATCAGAAATTATCTGAATTTTTTCCAAAATATTAAGTAATTAAATTTACTTTGGATTTGCCAAATAGCATCCTTATTGCCTCGCTTTCAGTCTGGTAATTAACACCATGGAAACACTTAATAAGAAGTAATATTTTGGTGCTTTCTCTTGACTTATCAAACTAATTTGATACTGTAAATAACACATTATTGAGGCAGAGACTAACCAGCTTTCTGATCACACTGTTGACTCATTTCATAATTATCTTTCACAAAGAACACCATGTCCATTTTCAGTTTCACTTCCAGTTCAATTTCTTTAGCTAGTGATGTTCGTCAAGGTTTTTGTCTTAGGACTGTTCCTTTCATTTTCCTTTTCAAAAAATATGGACAGTAAAGTTACTAGCACATTTTTTTTATTTTTATGGTAAGAATGTCGTATTATTTAAAAAAAAAAAAGTATTGAAATACGCTGCATCTCACACCAGGAATTTCTTTCCGAATGACCTTAAGGTCAGTGAACATTTTAAAGGGGCTTCATAATGACATTGAGGAGGTACAAATAGATGTTTTGACTGATTTCAATGCTAATGCTAGTACATGTTTTGTGCTAACTCATGAATTGCTCCTTAGTGCTGTCTGTCTTGCCCAGAACATTCTTTGAAAAATATTTTTAAAGTCAGTAATTTCCTTCCGTATTAAATTGCGTGGATATTTATAATCAAGTAAATAAGTAATAATAATAATTTAAAACATTTCATGCCACAGCTAAATATTTTTAGCTTGAATCACGTTCATGTTACATAATTTAGATGAACAACCTCTATAAATTATCCACGTTTAAACATTAAATATATAAATATATGAAATATGTTTATATGCACCTTGAGCTCTGACTTGCTCTTTCACAAGTGTAGCCTTGATATTAAAATAGTTTCAATTAGTTCAAAATCAACATCCCTTTATTGGTTGCTCTTATTTTCACAGCTTAGATACTGTGTAAAAATAAAAAAAAAATCCAAACTACTAACAACATTTACATATTAGTAACAAAATATTGAACTACACAGATTTACATAAAACATTATAAATATCAATGATGCAAGTTTTTCCCTTTTTCCCCACCTTTGAATCTCTTGTGTGAAAATGTACAAACCAGGTTTTTGTGACAGTGTTGGTTCTCATGAGGGTCTTTGTTGGTTTGCAGCTGCTCAGTTTTCTTACGTCTTGCTCTGGCTGCAGTGCCTGTGTTTGTGTGGTCATCATCCCTGTGGACAATAATTTAATTAAACATGGCGTATGGTGACCTTCCATTCAGCAGATCCATAGCAAGTTAGCTTCCCCCGGTGCTTTCCGCTCTCTGTCTGCTCCTGCGATCTCCTGGACTTTGAGAGGCATTTTAAAAATGTATACAGGCATATTGTCTTCCTTTGATCCTGGGCGTCACCTGGCTCCTCATCCTCACAAATCTGATGTCAACATTTGTGCCAGTCTGTGGAAAACCAAGTCGTCTTTTTTTTTTTTTTTTTGCACAATTCAAGTTTTGTGAGTTATTTATTTTACATATCACATATTAGACTTTAACCGAATTTGGATCTTTGATACTTTAGTATTCACTTGAGCTTGTTTCACAACAGACAGTGATGCTGCTTATGAAGGAAGTCAGATTTATGGATGCAGGCACTTGCAGTTTTATCACTTGATTTGTCCATATTCTACTCAACAAACATACAAAAATAAATGTTGCATTTTAGTTTGCTTTAAATGTGAATGTGCAGGAACCTTTTGATAAATTAAGCCTTTTAATCCAGTTCCTATTCTTTTGTGTTTTTGTGTAGCAGGAACTGAGTTTGTTTATTCCTTATCACTGCTTTTACACAGTCATGCTTTAAAGTCATAGTTTTCCTATCACAACATGAACAACTATCTAAGGTGGCTTAAATCATACAGATGTGAGCCTTTATTGATTAGTTCAACAAGTCAACTGCTCACAAATCAAAATCAGTGTTTATTTGCTCTCACCAACTGCTTCTTGCGCCAGTGAAGGAGAGTTTTTCACATTTACCAAAGTGGAACAGAACAAATCGTAGAGCGGTGAATCATGTGAAATCATGTTTTTCTTTCTTTCTTTCTTTCTTTATCTTTCTTTTTTTTGGAACTGTGTGGAATTGAAGAAATGCTTGAATTTTAAATACGGTATGCAAAGAAATAAAAAGGAACCACCTGTAGCAGAGAAATAAAAAAATAAAAACTATCAATAGATTGAGGAGACAAAAGACTAAGTGAAACGATTCAGTGAACTCAAGCCTGAAGCGACACCCACTTCCCAGTTGTGTTTGTTGATATGGACAGTATGGCCCACTGCCCAAGGCAACGCTCAGTCAGGGGGCAAACCGAAAAATGTTATATGTCAATTACTCTGCATGGTATTGGTTAATGCGCATAGCCATAGAAATAGATTACTCTTTGTGGGTAAGGTTGTTCTATACGCAGCTGAAACTAGAACAACCTGTTAGACTTTCAGCTGTTTCTGTTTATCCTGAGCTTAAGTAACGGTACACAGTCCTCTATCAAAGTCTGGTGTCTTTTTGCAATCTCAGAAATGTCTCAAAGGTTCATCATTACACATTAGAATCAAGTTTCTTTCATTCTTAGAATGCAGGTTGAGTCAATGGGGTGTTTTACACCCCAATGTTCTGAATAGTGTGAGAACAACACGAGAACATCAGCAGTGCAC